TTAATTACATATTATTATGGCTCATAATCAAGAACATAGTGTTTCTGTAACAATGATTGCTTCTAATTAAGTAGCATGCCATGATAGACTGCATTTATCTAATTAATCTACAAACCTCAGGTGCATTTTTGGGGAAAGATAAAAGCCAATCTTTCTAATGCAAGAATAAATTTTTATGAATTATGATGACTGCATAATCTCACGTCTGAGTGTAAGTATAAATAAACTTCTAAAATAAAACCTTTAAACTGTCAGATTCAATAATTGTCTGCAAGAAAACATAGTTTATTTGCTAAAAATACACTTGAATCTGTAAGATTAAGGACACTGGTCCAGCTTTGACTGTTATATTTCTCTGAGCCTTTAAACAACTGTGGTTTTTAATATGAAATTGTTCCAGGGAACTCTGTCTATATCATAAATATCTAAACAAAAGAAAGAGTAAAATGCATTGCTGAGAACACCAAGGGAAAGATATCACAGTATTGCATAAGAAATCATGGCATCAATGTTTCTGTGTAACTGATGATTTATTTTTATATATTACTCATGCTCAACCTAGAATTTGTTTCTTAATTAGAAGGCAATGGGGAAGATTATCTTCCATGTGATAGCATGTGAAGATGAAGAAGAAGTGAGAGAGGAAGAAATCAACATAAAGACAATAGAGGACATAGACTACAGAAATATTGAAACTTTTGGAGTCATGGAAACATTTTTTAAAAGCCATGGAGAAGCAACCAGCCAATAAATTTCTAGACCTTTCTGATCCACAGAAGTAAAACATGTTTAACCATGCATTCATTCCTCAAGAGATTTAGAATGAATTTGAATTATTGCCTTGGGAAAAGCCAGGAAGGTATCTTGTATCTTATTTAGCTATTTATTAAGTACAGCAAACTGCTACCTACTCACAAAATAGAAGCAATCTTAAAATTCATTAACATTTAATGAACAGTTTCTATGCCGCAATAGTATCCATGATGAGTGACTTAAGAAGATTATCTCTTTTCATTCTCATAAAAATGATATGAGGTAGGAAACTGAATAGAAATAGCCTATAATAATTCAAATTTCAGTAGCAGAGCCTAACTAGGCTTCCCTAAGTAATGACTGAGAAAAGCTAAAGGCTGGACAGGTGTTAGGGGATGGAAATAATTGAACCATCTTTGCAGAGGGTAAGGATAGAATGTATAAAAAGGCCCAGCAGTCATAGGGAAACTGAATGAAACTGAATGAAAAGGAAAAGAGACAAGCTGTGGTGTGTACATGTACCCACTCCCAAGATGACTGTAAGCTGGATGAATGGCAAATGTATACTAATAAAATTTTTTAAAGAAACTGAATGAAAATCATTTTCCTGAATTACAAGGAGAGGACACCAAATGTAAGTAGCACTATGAGATGAGATCCAAGAGAAATCTTGTAAACTATGTTAAAGTTTCTGGTCCTTATTGCATGATTATAACTGAAGTTTTTAAAGTATTAAGTGGGTAGCTAAATCAGTTCTATATTGTAATAAAAATTCTTTTAGTTATAGAAAGGAGAAGAGACATATAAGATGTAAACCATTTATAAGTTTAGTAATCTAGTTGAAACCAAGTAGTAATAAGTAGGAGAGGAGGGGAGCACATAGATAAATTGATAAGAGAGTGAAGAGGGGAAAACAAAAGCACTTGGTAATGGATTACACACAGGAAATGAGGCAGCAGGTGGAATCAAAACTGGGTCCTAGTTTCTGGCTTGTGCATCTGGTTGTATGAAAATGGCCTCTAACAAATTAGATGCTGAAATTCAATACCATTTGAAGGGAAGGATTATGAAGTCAATTTGGGGCAGACTGATTTTAATGACTTTTGAAACATCAAAGTAGAAGCGTCAAAGAGGCACTTGTTCTGTTTGGTTAGTAAAGGAAACATCTGGGCTAGAGATACAAATTATGATACATCTGCATATACATAGTAATTGACTATTTGGGGATTACATGACCTATGGAAAAAATGTGGGAGAATAGAAAATCATTTGAGGCTATGGAAACATCAGCAACTTCTATCCTCAAAACTTACTCTATAGGAATACAATATTTAGAACTTTGAGTTTTTTCTAATTCATTGTTTATACCTATTTCATAGTGCCAGAAAAAATAAACTTCATATGAATCTTTAAGAATACTCTTTCCTAGGTTCATAGACTTGTTTAATATCTCCATGGTTATGCTTCAATTCATACCTTATTTTAAAACATGGTCACTTCTGCTTTAGCTAATTTAAGAGAGGTTTCTCTCCTATACCTGTTTGTGTCTTTGTTCTCTAATCTTTGTCTCTTTTTTGTCTACATTGTAAAACTGAACTTTTATCCCATTTCCTGTTAATAAACCTCCTGGCCCATTAGCATTAATGTGTCTGACATTTAAATTAAATATTCAAAAAATAACACTTATCTAGAAAACAATGATACTTCCCTGAGTAAAAATACACTTGGAGAGAATCATTCATTTATGATGTTTTTGAATGTAAGTAAAACAGGATAATTTCAAATGAAAAACATGCTATGGGTAAAAGAAAGACATGAGAATAGCTCTTAAAGTAATGTCAGAGAATGAGAAAAATGGCCGAAATCATCAACAAAAAGAAAGGAAAGAGGGAGAACCTTGGTGATGTGTGATGTTAACACAGACAAACTAATGTCAAAGACTGAAAAGAGTCAGTTCACCTCTGCACAGCATCTCTCTAGAGTATACCTATTTTTAATTAAACCACATCAATGAATTTTTCAGGTCCTCAATAATACTTATTCTGAACTTAAAATGAGTTACAAGGAGTTTGAAGAACCCAAGAAAGTGAATAACAGATGAAATTTAAAAATGACTATATTTGATGATACTATACGTGGGGTGGTTGGAGATAATACAGCAGCTACAAAGTGAAAATAAAATGAAGCAAAATGTGTGTAATCCAAGTAGCTTTGTTATTGAAATGATGGCAATGATGATGATGATGATGATGACAATGACAATGACACTGACGGAGAGGGGAAAAGAGAAATTTACATTACTTATATATTTTCAGTAGGCAGAAATATTGTCTAATTTCAGATAGACTGAAACATAGAGGCAGTTACTTTCATGATTACTTACCAATTAGGAAAACAAAGGCAAAAAAAAATCAAATGCTACCCTTGTTGCCACTATTACCAATGTTACATTTTTTTCTCATAATCAACAATACGTATTGCAGTAGAGTAACTTTAAAAATTGTTTAAATATTAAAACATGTTTAGTATAAGTTTGCAGTTCTTAATGACTACATTATTTTTGCAATCCCACTTTGTACAGAATCAGAGGGCGATCTTATGAAAATGCATGTCATGATTCTGCAAGTATTTGGGGAGCAGTGATGAGTATCTCTGACGAGTTCTCAAATGATGCTCAAGTTGTTGCATTTTGCATACTGAAGCAATAACGCACATTCCAATTTCCACAATGTCACTAAAATGGCATAAGGACATCTCTGGTTTTCCTGTGAACTCTTGATGGAAAGTGATAGAAATGAATAGAATTTTGACCTGTATCACTCTGCCCTGAAAGTCAAAGAATCAAAAAAAGAATACAAGATCAAGTGAACCAAGAAGGCAGATATTGCCCCATTTGCTTAGCAGAACAATTATGGAGACACTTTTAAATCTGCAAGGCATGGCTTTCTTTTAATATTCTGCTTGGAATGATACTTGTGTCAAATTTACAAGATAAGCAAATTAAGAATATGTCTCTTTACAATGTACCAAAATTAAGAAGTCTGAACTTTTATTGATATTTAATAAGGGCCAGATATTAAATCCAGGGTCAGATGGATTATTTCATCTATCCCTGATAACAACCTCATGGGCTAACTTCAGTTCTTACTATATTGTTCAGGAAACAGAAATAGAGCTTATGCTACCTGTTTAATATTGCACAGGACCAGTGTATGGAATATCTGAATCTAAAAAGTCTGATAACACATAAGTACGTATAAAGATTCCTTTCTATGGCATCTTTGGCTTAAGAAGAACTGAAAGCTTTGTATCTACTGTTCTGAATTGCCTCACACCGAAGCCAGCAGATCACAAGCCAGTTCTTGCGTGCCTGCTTAGAATGAATGAGATGAAAACAATTCATCTTATTTATTCTTCAAAGTTCACTTGGGCCCCATTAGGCCTGATCTCTTCCCTTTTTTGCCTTAATTGGAGGTGTAGAGTATGTCCCATATTTACGTACTGAATACAACATGACTTTTTTTGTCTTTCTCTTGGCTTGGTCTCCTCTCCGCAGGCTGTTTAAAAGCACAGTGAAAGTGTGATCACTATCCCTTGCATTTCCCAGATTGTGTTGGTAGGATTTCCTACTAATATTTATTAGGGTACAAACCAATACCCTCTGGTTTCTTACTCAAATGTTCTAGTGCAGCCTTTTAAAAACATTGTCATGATTTGTGAAAAAAAATTATCTTCCCCAATAGAAGTTACAAACCTATAAGCAGTGGGTTTAGAAAAGGGATATTTTCATAACAAAGTTTCTCTTTTCAGTCAGAGAAAGGTATGATTATTTGACCACTTATTTCAGTGTATGCAATTTTGTTCATCTTTTCAAATGTGAACCAGAGCAGATCAAATTTATGTTATTTTAAAATAACTGATAGATGTATTGGTAAAACTTTTAGTAGTACATTTTCTTGACATGAAATTGATTATGTAGAAACACAGTTTAACTATAAAAAGAAAGATCACATTACTTAAGAAATTTAATTTTTATTTTATATTTAATTTATTTAATAAATGTATTTAAGGTATTCATTCTGAAACATTTCATGATAAGATGAATAATTTAAGTGCCTGTGCCTCTGATCCCAGCACTTTGGACTATGAAGCAAAAGGGTCTTAAGTTCAAGCTCAGCCTGGGCAACTTAGCAGGCCTTTGTTTCAAAAACTAAAAGTAAATAAAAAAGTTTATCTAAAGTATTTACCATCTAAATGTTGGTATGTTCACAAATATGTTTTCCTTCTAAGTCCTCATTAACCTGTAAAACCAAGGAAAGATGGGTTATTGATCAATCTGTGTATTGAGTACTATATTACTATTATTCAACAAAAATTGAAGGAATAGAACTTTGAAGGAATAGTTGCTCTTTTGCAAGCCAATATTTCATTTCCTTTAAGCATGCAATTGCTAAATGAATACTGAAAACAGCAACCATGATCATTATGTTTAGGAAGAAAGCAACAATTGTCAGCTTAATTACCCATCTCTTAACTGGCTTGGACACCAGAGTTGTCAAGCTCATGCTGCATGGCAGAGTGTAGTAGGTGTAGTGGTTCCCAGTTTACATCTCAGGAAGGTTAATGGGTCTTCAGACTTCATTCAGCAGCGCATTTTCAGGCCATTGTAAGTTTTAAACTTACTTCCATGCTGACAGTTTAATGTTCACATAAGCAAGGAGTTAACTTACTTTTAACTTCTAAACCTTAGGACCTCGCCCTTAGAGCTATAAAATTGACATTTCAGAATGAATACTTTTTTTTTCATGGTGTATCTTTAAAATTTACACATTACAATGTCTAAAACAGCTGTCCATGTTTATGTTAAAGGCCTTTCAAAACATTTTTTTTTCTTTACAGGATGGCATTTGTGCAGAAAGGAAAGTAAGCAACTTGACTGATTTTTTTCCCCTTTCTTCCCTTTCTCTCTTCATCCTCTTCTCCTTTTAAAAAGTTTTTCCTATTTTCCTTCTTCTTTCTCTTTGTTCTTATTGTCCTTTTTCTTTCTAAAGTACTTCAGGATAACTTTAGCTATTATTCAAGCAGTAGTTTAAATCTTCAGTCTGATAGGGTTTCACATGCATATATCAGAAATGAAGTGTTCTATATATCATGCTTAACCACCCAGAGGTCAAGGAACTAAATCTTCGCATCATGAAAGTAAAATGTTGTGCTTTCCAGTTGGCATCACTTTAGGGGACTCTCACCTCCAATTTCCACAGTGACCTTCCAATCTCAGTTGACCACTTTACAGTAAAATTTATTACAGTTGTCACACCAAAATGCAGAAGAAGAAATGACATGGGTAAAATACCAGAAGACAGTAATAAGATTTATTTTTCAGCCTCAATAATAATCTTACATTCAATTTTCTTCTTAGTTCACTTTTTCCCAATCCTTCACAATACCTTTTGTTGTAGTCAGGGTTTGCAAAGGCATAGATTTAATATAGGACACATAATTTATAGATTTTTATAACATTCACCCAAAAACTCAAATGCAGAAGAGTGCAAGAGATCTGTCTGCATGCCAGAAATCCAAATAATTCAGCCAAGGCCCTGGATTCCATGGTAATCTCCTCCATGAGTCCAGCCAGAGGCCTAGAGTCTAGGGCAATGTCTCATGCAGGTCCATATCAAGGAACTGCACCAGGAAGGCCCGAAGTCCAGTGGTGGAAACAAGAAAGTCTGCACTGGGTGTGTGGGGGGTATGTGTGTGTGTGCGTGTGTGTGCATGTGTGTGTGTGAAGGATCCAAGGGATCTGCACTGGAGCCAGGAAGTGACACTAAAGGTAAAGACCAGAGCTCCCTGGAAGAGAAAAATAACCCACCTTGGTGATAACAAGGACCTGAGCTCCTCTGATGAGGAAAACAGCTGAGTTTGTATTAGGAAAACCAGCCACTACAAGCTTCTCCAGGAAAATCAACAGCATACAATCTTCCCTTCCAGTTCTCATTGGCAACAATTCTCAGGTGGGTCTTCCAGGCCCAGAACCACACTGACTCAGTTCAGCTGGGCGTTCTAAATTGACCATTAGTTAATCTACCACACACTTTCCAAGATGCTGCTTAAACACTGTAAGACTATATCAGTCTTTAAATGTGTGGGCATTTTAAAGACCTTAATATAAAGTTATGGACGTCTAAGGATTCATAATTTTTATGGAAAAAGGATCTATATAATACATTAATATTCTACACTTTATTAATATGGGAGAAAAGGAACACTAGTAAAGTCCCAGATAAACAGTGAAATATTAATGTTCCATAATGCTAATAATTACCACGTGCATACCATCCATCGGGATGATGAAAATTAATAATAGAATCTGCTATAGAATAGGTCTTTTTTAAACTTCTTCCTAAATATTATTTATATCTCAGGTTAACCTAGGTTATGAAAAAGAGAAACATATTCCAGAGAGATGTGTTAATTGTGACAAGTAGCATCATTAGAAGGTGCAGAATTTGAGAAAAAGATGGAACTGCCTGTTTTCTGCATATTTCCACTGTTAGGAACTTCTATGGCTGGTAAAGGGCCTAAACATCATCTAGGCTATGCTTTTATTTGCAGATCAGAAAAATAATGAGGTCCACGGGTGTAATATTTCTTGACAAAGTTTAAAAAGAAACTTCCCTCTTCAGATCTTGTCACTACTTCATCTTTCTTCCTGTACCAGATTTACTGTGAGGTATTCATTCATGTAATGAAAACAAGAAATCACATAAAGGCCAGAGCACTTCTGGACACTTTGTATCCTAGAATGTCACCATGCTTTGAAAAACCATGCTTTGAAAACATACAATAATGTGTTGAGAAGCATATTGTAAAAATTAAATCATTTTTTAGAGTGACTCTGCTCTATAAATTATATTCATGCTGTTAAGACCACAAGTAAATGGACAAGGAAGAAAGCTGAACAGATAATCTAATGCATTAAGGGGAAATAATTTTTATTTGTTACTGTGTGCATTTTTGGAATTATCTTTCAGTAGAATCAGTGCAGCTCTAACTTCAAAAACTGCTATAAAATTACTACAGTAAAAAACAATCAGAAATATTTATAATAAAATTTTAAGCCTCTCTTTACTTTTCAACTGCTTTATTCATCTACTTAACCACTTTTTATAATATTTTATCTTTACAGAATATTTGCTATATGTGTAGTTGAACAACTAAAAGAAAATGATATAAATAAAAATTATTTATGCTAATTCAATGAAAGCTCAAAAATGCAAAATAAAATAAATCCCTGAAGGGTTGTTATAAATAGAAAGTGGTAGATTTAAACCTTTAAATCTAAATATAGCATTCATTATATTATATATAAATAGCCTATGGTGTTATCAATTATGAGGGTTGTCTCACTATTAGAAAATCAACTATATGCTATTTAAAAGAGTTCTAGAAAAAGACAGGCATCGAAAATATAAGCATTAAATTATGAGAAAAACACAAAATTAAAACATACATAGAGTTAATCTGTAGATAGAATTTAAAGAAAATTTAGTATTGAAAAGCTAAAAAATATTAAAGGTAGAGGAGCATGCTGCAGTAATGAAATGTTCAATTCTGTAAAAAGGCAAACATTCACATTTTTTTCTGCAAATCTGTATCGGTCAGTGAGTGCTCACTAGAGCACATATATGTTATACACATACATGGATTTACAAAGCAGGCTCATAATGGCTGCCTGCAGAGTCAGGTGTGCAAGGGTTCAAAATGGCTGTCTGGGTACTGGAGATTCAAAAGATCCAATCAAAAGTTGGAAGTCTGGAGCTTCCTGTAGAGTCCTATGCAAGTCCATATCAGAAAGCTGAAGGTTCTGAGATGGAAGTCTGAAAACTCTGTGCCACAAGATTTAAGACTGGACTGGAAGCCGAGAGCCAACATTCAAGATAAAGGTGAAGACTAAAGCTCCTCTGAACAAACAGAAGGGAGCTTTCCTTCTTTGCTTTTTAATCTCATTCAGGGTGCAAGCTTATTGGTTGGTGACACTCACACCCAGAGTGGGTCTTCCATCTTTAATAAATTCATTCAGTCACACCCAGAACTGTGCTAAGTCAATTAGGAGTTTCTTACTCAGGTTGACACAACAGTTAACTATCATACTATCACAACATAGCCTGTTAAGAAAACAAAACAAAACTCTCAGAAATATAAAGATAAATAAAACGATTTAAGTGCAAATCTCATACTCAGTAATTGATGAAACAGGGAGAATGAGAGGAAATTAGGAAAGATACAGAATGTTTAATTAACTTGATTAAAATAAGACCTAAGATTTTAAGAAGTCTGCCCTCAACAACCGCAAAATAGTATTTTTTCAACAAAAACAAAACACAAAAGTTGACAAGATACTATAACAAATGTTAAATTTATGTTGAAGCTATCTCTGTACTTAGTTAAATTGCAACCTAAATTAGTAAGTGTAAATAATAAGAAACCTAATGTAGAGGTTTATATATAATGTTTGTTATATATATATAATGTTTGTTACAAGTAGTTGGATCTCAGACAATCACAGGCAGCCAGCTGATCATAATACATTTAAATAAGTTGAAGACCTGCTTGTAACTACTGAGGCTATTTCTGTACTTCCACTTTCTGACTATAAATATTCGCTGCCTATACTGAGGAGAAGTGGAGTTCACTTCAGGTTGCAAGAGTTACCCGAGACATAAATCAATATTTGCTTATATAACCTCAGTTAAGTTGCTTTCATCCAAAGTTTTTGTACATGAAGATTCCACAATTTTGGAAGATTGTGAAAATATATGCATCATGTTTACAGGCCATGATGAAATTTTTAGAAATACACAATAAAATATGACTATAAAATCATCACATTTGACAACTTACACATCTAAGTGTAGCATATGAATCAACGGGGAAAGCATAATAAAAAATTAGAAAGTGCTTTTGTTGCAGAAATCTCGGAAAGAAATACACAGAGACACAGAATTCGGATAAAATAATAAAATTTCTTCTCGCGAGGTTAAGGGAATGCCAGAAACCAGTCTGGTCAGTATCCGGGCCCCCTTTGTTCAGCATTTCCTTTTTTTTATATCCTTTTTAGCCATTATCTCACCCCTAGTGGTCTTTGATATGTAAATACAATTCCAGTTTCCAATTACAAGTCACAGACACAAGATAGGCCATAAACATTGTAAATTCACCCTGGCACGGTAACTTTGTTAGGTTAATGAAGTTACTGAGTAGAGTCAGATAATCCTCACCTTAAACAAGGAGTTACAGGAAAA